CACACACACACACACACACACACACACACACACACACACACACACACACAGACACACAGACACGCACAGCACAATATTAAAAAGCAACGCACTAATTGTCTCATTTAGAGTTATTTACCTGTAGCTAGTAGTCTGTTGTTCCATATAAGACAGGATAAGCTATATTGCCAAAAGTATTTACTGGGCTGCCTTCACAGACATATGAACTTGAGTGACATCCCATTCTTAATCTATAGGTTTAATATAATGTCGGGCCAACCTTTGCAGGTATAGCAGCTTCAACTCTTCTGGGCAGGTTTTCCACAAAGTCTTGGAGTGTGTTTATGGGAATTTTTGACCAGTCTTCCAGATGCACATCAGGTCAGGTCAGACACCGATGTTGGACGATAAGGCCTGGATCATCTTTTCTGCTCTAATTCATTCCAAAGGTGTTCTGTTGAGTTGTGCTCAGCATTTTGTGTTGGCCAGTCAAGTTCTTCCACACCATCCGTGTATTCATGCGGCCATGTGGTAACAGGAAGGGGCCATCCCTAAACTGTTCCCACAAAGCTGGGAGCATGAAATTGTTTAAAATGTCTAGGTATACTGAAGCATTAAGAGTTCCTTTCAGTGGAATTCAGGGACCGAGCCCAACTCCTGAAAAACACCCCCACACCATAATCCCCCCTCCACCAAACAATGCAGTCAGACAAGTACCGTTCCCCTGGCAACCACCAAACCCAGATTGCTGATCGCTAGATGGAGAAATGTGTTTCGTCACTGGAGAGAACCCATCTCCACTGTTCTAGAGTCCAATGGCAGTGTGCTTTACACCACTGCATTCGGCACTTTGAATTGCATGGAAACCCCACAAAGCTCTCAGTGCTCTGTTCTCGAGCTAATCTGAAGGCCACATGAAGTTTGGAGGTCAATAGTTATTGACTCTGAGTTGCTGTTGTTCCCAATCATTTCCACTTTGCTATAATAACACTAACAGCCAACTGTGGAATATTTAGAAGTGAGGAAATTTCACGACTGGACTTGTTGCACAGGTGGTGTCCTATCATTCCCCGAGGTCCTGAGAGCGACCCAGCCTTTCACAAATGTTTGTAGAAGCAGTCTGCATGCCTAGCTGTTTGATTATATGATGGCCATGGAAGTGATTGAAACACCTGAATTCAATAATTTGGAAAGGTGAGTGAATGCTTTTGGCAACATAGTGTATGTGTGACACACTCACCAGTCACACAATCCTGCCCCTGATAAATGATTTAGATATTATAATTTAAGGCTAAACTAACATTGGAACAAATAAAAACAGAAATGTAAGTATATAAAACTAAACAGCAAAAATGTAACTGAAAGATGCAAAACTATTGTCTAAGCTGAGTAGAACTTTAAAGAGTTGAAGCTCAGAGGATATTAAAATTTGAAATGGAAAGCACAAAACTGCAGCTCTGATGCTCGGTTCAGTGAACATCTATAACATATAAATGAAAACACAACACTCAAAAGTATCAAAACCTTTTCTTATTTCTTTGTTTTCCCTTTTCACTGACTTTCTCTCCCTCTTTTGTGTTTTTCTTTTCTTTTTTCACCCTTCAGGTTGGAAAGATCTCCAAGAACAAGAAGAAGAAGCTGAAAAAGAAACAGAAGCGGCAAGCCGAGCTTCTGGAAAGGCGAATGCTGGAGATTGAAGCCCTGGAGAGGGAGGCAGAGAGGAGGGAAGAGAAGGCCAAAGAAGGAGGGGAGAAGGCGACGCTCGACCGCAACCTGCCTTCACCGCTGCAGCCGCCGCAACCGCCTCCGGGCCACAGCACGTCCCTGGGAGACAGCGACGATGACGACGACGATGAGGAGGACGGAGAGGACGAGGAGGAGGAGGAGGGAGGAGAGAGGCCCATCAGGCTGACTAATCATACATGTGAGTCATGACTGCAGGGTGACTGTGAAGATAAGCAATTTTACTACATTCAGACATTTGTGAATCAATCAGTAGTGCTTCAGCGTGTCAGATATGACTCAGGTGTTTTGATCATTTATAATTGTAAGTGTTTGGAATAGAAAAATGCATAAAGGCACTTTTCTCATTATAATTATCAAAAGTACATAAATACACCTGTTATTATCATGTTATATGCATTCTTATATCCCGCTCCTCCTTCAAAAAGGTTACCACGACTACGGTCCACCAGAAAAAAAACTCAAATACCAGTTGGCGACATCTTCGGCTCATTTACATTCCCTGTCACGTCTGCTTAATGTTTGTTTGGTGGTTTCCTGTGATCCTGTAGGCTATTTATAGGCTGTGTAAATTAGTTTGCTACTTGCAGCGAATCTGCTGCATTGCCTCCTCACAGCCTGTTTTTCGGCGCTCTGAATCATCGCCAGCATTTCAGATTTCAGATGAACTTAATTTGCCACTTTGTCTCAATTTAAGTGAGACAAATTGGCAAATGAGTCTGATTATCAGGCGGGCTTGAATGTTGCAAAAAATAAAACACTGTTAATCGGAAGCCTGAAGACAAGCTGCAGAAAGTCGAACATATATTGTTCTCCGCGTCCGATAACTGTTCCTAATCTGTTAGTTATCTCTTATTTGGACTCCATTTAAGCTAAAAGAAATGTTTCCTGCAGCCCGGGGATGTAATGCAACGTTCTGGTTGCATTTATTGTTTCCAATCAAATACACTGAGGGAAAAGTGAGCAATTAATAAAAATAAAAAAACTGTATTCAGGTTGTGAATAGCTAGAAGGTGAGTTATCCCAGAGAAGATCTTGGCTTTGACAGATCTGCGTCACGTGTGAGTATTTGTATGGTTTTGGTTTTAGTCTGTCTGTGAATGAATAGGATGTGGATTGGCTCCAATCACTCAACCCACGCTAGTCCTGCTGTGTATGGAAGCCTCGGCTGATTCACGAGAGGGAAAAAAAAAGAAAGAAAGGAAGAAAAACGTCTTTCTCGTCTCCCTCCTCCACCCTCTGTCTCTGCACCTTCTGCTTCTTTCATTCTTGTATTCTCGCTTTGCTACCTTCACTCCGATCTTTCTTCTCTTTTCATGCTCCTTTTCTCTCTGCCTACATCTTGTCTGATTCCACTTACTGTACATCTTCCTCCCGCCCACCAACTGTCTATAATGTTTTCCTTTTTTCTCCATGTTAGGTGCAGCACCTCCCCAGGAGCAGAGCGAGGCAACCCACATCACAGATGATGACCCTGATGAGGAGGCGGAGGAAGAAGAAGAGGAGCTTACGCCTGTCGCTGAAAAAGATGCCCCTATTCCCCCCGCCTCAGAGCAAGGCAGCGGAGATCCAACACAAGCAGAGGTTGAGCCAGAAGAGGCAGAGGAGGAAGAGGGATTAAAAGGGACAGAGAATGAGAATGAGGAGGAGGAAACAGAAGAGAAGGTAGCAGAAGAAGAAGAGGAGGAGGAGGAAGAGGAGGAAGAAGAAGAAGACGAAGAAGACGAAGAAGAAGAAGAGGAGGAGGAGGATAAAGAGACAGAGGAGCCAAAGAGTGAGAGCAAAACAGAGCAGGAGGTGGTGGTGGTGGTGGAAGAAGAGGTTTCAAAGAAGCAAGAGGGGGAGGAGGAGGACGAAGAAGAAGAGGAGGAGGAGGAAGAGGAGGAGGAAGATGAGGATGATGACACGACTACTGACCTCCTCACAGATAACACCTCCCCCATCAAACCCCACATCAATAAAACCAATTCGGTCAAAACCAACGGCCATGTTTTGTTAGGCTCTGAGGGACTGAAACCAAACCCAGGCACGCCTCCGCCTCCTTCCCCCACCCCAGAGCCTCTTCTCTGCCCCCTGGTGGAGTCTGAGCTCAGCTACACAGACAGGGACAACTCTCTGAGCTCTGGTTATGAGATGTATAACGGCGAGCTTGGAGAGCCAGGACTCACCAATGGCTCCAGTGAGCGGCATCTAGGTACAATTCCCATTTTTCCCGACTTGCCTCTGGATCCCGAGCCGGGAAACACCATTTGTGTCGGTACGGCAGACATTGAAGCAGGACCTTCACCCAACAGCCCCACTGCAGACCGCAGTCGCACCGTGTCCTCCTCGAGCACGGGAGACACACCGAAAGGTAAGATAGGATTACAGCAATTTCAAAACTCAGACTTTAATACTGAGCATGTAAACGACGATGGCTGAAAAATAGTACTGATTTTAATGATAGTGGGTGTAGCAACCATACGGTGCAGGTATAACATGAAAATTAATATGCCAGATGTGATCAAATTAAAAATGTCAGTGACTGTTTTGTGATGGAGTGATGGGCTAAAGCACTGTGACCACCGCCCACTAATGCACTGTCCACTCCAATCTCTCTCACCCATTGACTCATGCACACCTCTGTCATGTGACGCACTGAGACATTAGCTCGCATCACCCGCAAAAAAGAGACCAATGACGCTTGGAAATTGCCACAAAGCTTTACTCTTAGACTGCTCCAAATGCTTCGATAGGTGTGCGACCTGACAAAGACACTCACTAAACATTATTAAAGTGGCTCTTGAGATAATTATGACCAGATGAGTTGGACTTTGTTGCTGATTAATGGTTTATCTCTATTTAAACCACTGATGGTCAGGGGTACTCCACAAGAACTGGAGTCAACATCTGGGAACAACAACAAAGTTGCTCTCAACTAAGCTGGATTGGTTTAGTTCATCAGACTCCCCAATAGCTCCAGCACAGAGAGACACCAGCCAAGCAATCTCCTTACAACACAACCATCATATCAAACAACTGCCTAAGAGTTCATTTTAAAGTTTTAGCCGTTGTTGTGTAAGCACTGTGACAATTCACCACATCGGTGTACGTATTAACACAGCACTTCAACATAAGACAATTACTAAAGCACATCGACAGTAGCACTAATTCATTTTATTCATTTCTGCCTCAGTTTGAAACCCATAAAAAAGCCTTTTAAGGTTTTTTTAAAATCTGATTTTACTGGTTATTCATGCTATTTGCTTTAGCAGTAAATTCATTTCCCCCATAGCCTGGTGCAAAACTGTTTATTTGAGTTAGTGTTCTTGCTTTGGGTAATAAAAAAGTCCTGACTGGTAAAATAACATTGTTTGTCTGAGCTGAAAGAATACATTTTTATTTCTTTTTTAATACAATATACCATTTACAATTTCTCCTGCTACCACCATTTTTCTTGTTATACAGTCTTGTTATTCACCTCAACAGTGGTTAAAACATTTCAAGCCATCAATACATATGTTTTAGTTCTTGTGCCTCAGAGTTTCTACCATTATTTATTGTTAGGGAACATACAACAGGTAGTATAGTTCATAGAGTTGAAAAAAGGAACCTATATCCCTCTGCTATTGCAGAGGCCTAGGTTCAGCTATGCTCTGGGCATTTCCTACAGCTCTCTCCTCCAGCTTTCCTGTCTACTCTCAACTGTCCCATCACAATAAAAGCTCAAAAGGCCCCCAGAAACACTCAAACATTATTCAAGATCTCACTGAAGTGATTGTCTGAAGTCCTTGTTGTGATTCAGTATCACCAGTTGGCTCTAAACTTTTACTTTAATTACAGGATTTATCTCCAACTTCAAACAAGTCCAAGTCTGAGTAAACTTTGTGCAGTGCAGTGGTTCTAACTACACAACAAATTTAAACTCATTATTATGAACCGTTATCATAAGCTCTTATTGTAGTTGCTTTTGAAGTGTTACTGTTGTCCCATCTTGTTTTTTCATAAACTTTTTATTTTATTTTAGCATATTTGAAATATCACAGCATGATTTTTATATGTAAAATAAACATAATATAACATTCAAACTAAAAATATTATTAATAATAAAAAGTGGAATTTCAATCATTTATTGATCCATTAAAAATATTCCTTCTAAAAGTATATTTTAATATTTAACTTTGAAGCCTAGCAGTGTGTAAAAATAATATCCTGAAATATAAAAATAAAAAAAACTGAGCCAATACTACGTGTCAGTTATTTTCATCTGCATTAATCTGATTGCCTTCATATAGTATTGACACGATTTTGTTTTGCTGGACTTCCTCTCAACATTAATTATAAATTTTAATTAAAAATTGAGACCGGCATCTTATGTACTTTTATAGATCGCCCTAACATGAATAACCACTGCTGTGTTTCGAGTTTAACTTCTATTATGTTATTACTATGTAGTATAATATCGTTTCTCATTATTACATTTTAGTGTCCAAATACATTTAGGGTTTTATTTTTTGACCTAACATCCACCTACAGCCTTCTTTTTAGTATCAGTAAATGAATTAAGGTGCCAAATTTCTCATCACATTACTTCTTTACATGGCTTTGTGATACTGTCAGTGGATGCTCATGTAACTTGATGACTGCCGTGATTTCCAGAGAAAAACCTGAAATGATCCTTGTTTTAAATGCACGCCTATTCGAACATTACCATGTATAAACGCTGTCTCTTACTGTATGTTTAATCCTGCGCTGTCCCGTTATGTCCCCTGACAGTCAGAGCCAGAGCTGCAGATCTTCTGATCAACCCTCTAGATCCGCGCAACGCAGACTCTATTCGAGTCAAAATTGCTGATCTTGGAAATGCATGCTGGGTGGTAAGAAAGCAGCTGGAGTTTGATATTATTTCATTTTGACTATTTTTAAATAGTGAAAGGTGAAGCCTTTTATGTTCTGTTGAAGACAAACAGAATAATGAGTTGTACAGAGGCTGTAACCAGAGGTGACCACAGGTGCATTATGCTGTAGTTTTTAAAGACATAATAGCTCACTTTCATACTCAGAGAGGCCTGAGAGTTTCTGGAGGTGCGTTCTGTGTACCCTGTATAAATGATTGTTATTCACTGTAAGAATTCATATTTGAAACCTGTGTAGGCGGGCAAGTCGCCACAGGTTGCACAGGTCCAGATATTTTAATGAGGTTTAGAGAGGAAAACAAGAAGCAGCATAACATCAAACTCCGAGTTTCCTTCAGCGGTCCAATTACAGCTCTGCTTTCAGCAGGCTTTTTATTTTGTGTGCAGCAGCCATTATTAGAGACCGGCTGTTGAAACGAATGTACTGGCAGGAGGCGCGTTCCGGCAGCTAACGCCGCTAGAACCCATCGTTCAGATGCGCTAATCTGATCCCAAATCCTGCGCACAACAATTACACACAGTCTCACAAAACAACAGATGAAAGTGTAAATAAAAGCATCCCACACATGTCTAGATCGAGACTGTAACACACACTGAGCCAGCTGCACTCGGCAAGGCAGGACTGCACGGAGAATTTAACAGGGTTTGGTTTCCAAAGATGAAAGACAAGTGGACCCTGATCAGACGAAAACATATCAAGATGTAAGACGGGGACTATGTTTTATTGATAGATCCTGATTAAATTTTTTAGTAACAAATATCCTTCCTCTCCTCTTATTTCGCGGACAGCATAAGCACTTTACAGAGGACATTCAGACAAGGCAGTACCGCTCCATCGAAGTCCTAATAGGAGCGGGTTACAGCACTCCTGCTGACATCTGGAGCACCGCCTGCATGGTGAGGAGAACACACATGAATAACATTATTACATACATATATGCAGCTGTACTAGTTTGCAATCATTCGTTGAGAGGCGTACTCAGTATGTCCTCCTGTAGGCATTTGAGCTGGCCACTGGAGATTACCTGTTTGAGCCTCACTCTGGAGAAGACTACTCCCGCGATGAGGGTGAGTATTTAAATCTTTATGGCACAAACTGTTTTATTTCCAAATATAGGAGCAGCAGCTTCCACTGGAGAATTAATGCTGAATATTTTTAATCTTAAAACTTTAAACTGAATGTTGGAGATGTTCGGTGCAAAGTGTTTAAACTGTTTGATATTACTGCGTAAATAATTAGCTTCACAGTTTTTCTCCACTATTTGATCAACTTTATATAGAAATGTAAAACAGATTTTAAAATAGAACTGAAATCATAAAAGGACAAATAGAATAAATAATTGAAAAAGACTTGAAAAATATACTTTTGTTTATCCCTATGTAATAATGTTGGGGCTTTTGTGTCTTATCGGATAATGGAGAAAAGCTGTAATTTAAAAAAGGTAGTTTGTATTGTTAGCGCTTAAAAAAATAGCCAAAATCAGTTTAGTTTAAAGTTTAGTCAACCCCTCTCCCCACATCCTTCTATCCACTTTAAATTCTGTCCCTTGAATCTGCTGCTGTGCCTCCACACATCCACACCAAGCCCACACTTCAAACCTTAGCCCAACATTAGCCAAGTGTCCTGTGAGATTACGTGTATCTGTTTTCTGGTCCTTCTCCATCCTTTGCATGTGGACTCCAGTCATTAATCATACTAATTCTTCTAAATGTTATGTCTCGCGAAAACATGTCACATTACCAAACTGTGCAGCTTCACCCCCACATTTCTCTTTATCACTTCCCCTCATCTGGTCTTTGATCTGTCTCAGCTCATTGTGCTGTGTTTTCAGGGGGGGGGGGGCTTTTTCCCCTCAGAGCATGTGACACACAGTTGGCTCCC